ATTTATGAAGAATGAGCTGTTTTCAGAGTATGTCATGTTACTGGATACTTTTCCTTATTTTTCTTCCCCTTTTCCTCTACAACCCCAAAAGTCGGGGGAGATGGATGCTGACTTCTTTCCCTCAAATCAACCAGTGCTTCAATATACAAGCTTCCATTCAGGCAAACTTTTATTTGGTGGGCTCACACACGAGCTGCCTGGGCACTCTTCTCGCCTCTCTTCTGGAGACGGCAGATGGCTGAAGTGGGAAGCTACTACGGTTAGTCTGACTACTGGGTAAATGTGTATAATCACACTTAGGAGCTGGTGCAGCTTTCTTATACAGACAATAACTTATTCCTGCCCTACTTGCTTTGCCTTCTTTAAGCTCTGCCAACTGCATTCAGTTTGTAACTTTTGTTGGAAGGAAGTCTGTAGAAGAAACAGAATTTAAAAGCTTAATCCACACTTGGAGTTGAACTGGCTTCGGCACGTCAAGTTGATAGTAAAAAATTAGCTAAACTGGCACAGCTTTGGAGTGGTTAAAACTGCAACACTTGGCTCCAGAGTGGGAACTAGAGATGAATGGAATAAATATGAAAATTATAAGTGCCTTGCTGATGCACAAGTCTTACGAAGGCCTTTTTTTTTTTTTTTTTTTTAAATCACTCTCCCCTTCCCCATAGTATATACTTTAGGTAATCCAAAACACAGGGGAAGATGAGGTGGCTGAATCTTGGATTTTGTGACCTTGGTCCAATCAGTTGCCTTTGCCTCACCTCTTTTCCTTGCTTTTACAACATAGGGGCTAAGTATTGCTCTCTGCTCTGGCAGGTATCTGTCTGGGCAGCCTTTCTGACCCACCAAACTGCTCACTAGGATCCCATAGATGGGCAGGAACCGCAGCTCCCTGGCTGAACTGAGTGCTACTTGTCAGCAGCATGACAGGTCTACATTAGTGCATGTTTCCCATCGTGGTCCTCTGGTAACAGCCTGCGCACCAGTGTGGCCATTGATGGGAAATCCATTTGCTTAGAATGGGTGAGAGCTGAGACAGGTGGCTTCTCATGAAGGGCCTTAGGAGGAGAAGTGTAGCTTGAAAAAAGGTTGGGTTTAGGTTATACATAAAATGATGGTATTAGTACCTTCTTGTGAAAAGAGGATTTCCCTTACCGCTAAGAAAACTTAGCTGTGTACTATATTCTGATGCCTATGCCTTTACCCGCAGCAGAAGCAAAACAATGAAGTGTGTCAGCTAAGTGCCTGTTTATGTAGGTGATGGCTCAAGCACTTTTTTTGTTTCCTGGTGGGATTTTGTAACACTTTTCATTATTTATCTGTATCAGACTTGTTTACATTTCTCAAGTTCTGTTCTGGAGGGTACTTTAACCCTTGGACTACAGGTTATTTTAATTTGAAGTAGGGCCTAAAAAGGGAGGAACCCTCCTGGTACTCTTACTTCACTTAGATAGCCCTGATCTTCAGCTTCTTAAGTCTCGTGCTCCAGCCAATTTCTACTACAATTTACCTAAGCAACGGATTCGGTAAGTGAGGTAAATATCCTTGACTGCAGTTGTGGTTGCACTTCACTAGGCCTTGAAGTGCTACAGATGCTTTTTGGAGTCCCTGCCTCACAGAGCATGTACTCTCAGCTGTAGTTGCTAGAAGCTGAACTATTTGCAGTGTCAGAAAACAGTATTTTGAAATGCTGAGCTTGCTAGCTGGGAATAAAACCATTACGTCCATGAATTCTGAGTTGGAAGGAGGAGAAATGATCTATAAGCGTTATAGGGCGTGGCTGTTCTGTAGGTATCTCACTAACTAAAATGAAGCAAACAACCCCTTTCGCAGAGTCACTGAAGTAGAATGTTTGCCGGATTGAGTCAATGCAGAACATGTTGAACTGCTGTTGTAAGCCTAACAGGGAGTGGTACCGGTACAGGTTTTTGCTGTGCTCTTGTTTGTTTCATTGTTTTGCTGAAGCAATAATTAATTGTATGATAATGCATAATGTGAAACCCAAGATCAGCAAGGCTGAAACTGAAGCTTGTTAGTCCTTGAATTAAAGGGATGGTGCCATCCTGCAGGACTAATGCTGTCTGGCTAAGTGGGTAACAAGATTGGCACTATTTTGGTTGCAGGCAAGTGGACTCCTGGGAATGTATTCTTAATTTCTTCCCCAAGGTCTGCTTTTTTTTCATCATTTGGACCCTTGGTTGAGCTTTCTATATGTGAATTTGTTTCTGTAGCTAAACTGTTACTCACCCTTCCCTAATTGTGCCTGGGTAGGAAGTGGTGAAACGGTGTGACATAGACAGTTGGCTTTCTCAATAATATTCACTGGGGCTGACAGTGCAGCAGCTAGAACTCTATTTACTAGCTGGAGCATCCTGCGTGTGCGGTATGTGTTAGTATGCTAATGGTACAGTCCTGCATATCCTTAATCACACAAGAGCTATGGCATCTTTCAAATAAACCTTGAAACCAGAGAAGGGATAAATGTATGTGTATGTACCTTCACCTGTGGTCATCTGTAAATCTAGCTCGAGTCAGGGGCATGGCTGGATCTTTCATTCTTAGCCTGCTATTGCACTGTTGGCTGGCCATTCAAGCTCAAATAGGACCTTCACTAGTGGCTTCCTCACTTGTTATTACATCCACTTATTTATAGTTAGCAGGCACAGAAACTGAAATGGTTACAGCATTTCCTAGCTGTTATTACCCAAACAGAAATATTCTGGCTGCTGTTTGTGTGCCAACTGTTATGGGTGATCTGCAAGCAGTGACTAAACAAATCATAGAATCATAGAATGGTTTGGGTTGGAAGGGATCTTAAAGGTCATCAAGTTCCAACCTCCCTGCCATGGGCAGGGGCAACTTCCACTAGACCAGGTTGCTCAAAGCCATATCCAACCTGGCCTTGAACACTTGCAGGGAATGGGGCATCCACAGCTTCTCTGGGCAGCCTCTTACAGTGCCTCACCACCCTCATAGTGAAGAATTTATTACTTATATCCAGTCTAAATCTACCCTCTTTCAGTTTAAAGCCATTACCCCTTGTCCTATCAATTACTACATGCCATTGTAAACGTTCCCTCCCCATCTTTTCTGTAGGTCCCCTTCAGGTACTGGAAGGCTGCTATAAGGTCTCCCTGGAGCCTTCTCTTCTCCAGGCTGAACAACCCCAACTCTCTCAGCCTGTCTTCATAGGAGAGGTTCTCCATCCCTTTGATCATCTTCATGGCCCTCCTCTGGACTCGCTCCAACAGGTTCATGTCCTCCTTATGTTGGGGGCCCCAGAGCTGAATGCAGTACTCCAGGTGCCATCTCACAAGAGTGGAGTAGAGGGGGAGAATCACCTCCCTCAACCTGCTGGTCACACTTCTTTTGATGCATCCCAGGAAAATGGTTGGTTTTCCAGGCTGCAAGCACACATTGCTGGATCATGCTGAGCTTCTTATCAACCAACACCCCCAAGTCCTTCTCCTCAGGGTTGCTCTCAATCCATTCTCCACCCAGCCTGTATTTGTGCTTGGGATCTCCCTGACCCATGTGCAGGACCTTGCACTTGGCCTTGTTGAACTTCATGAGGTTTGCACAGGCCCACCTCTCAAGCCTGTCAAGGTCACTTTGGATGGCATCCCTTCCTTCCAGCATGCTGACCGCACCACACAGCTTGGTGGTGTTGGCAAACTTGCTGAGGGTGCATTCAATCCCACTGTCGATGTTGCCAACAAAGATGTTAAACAGCGTCAGCCCTTGAGGAATGCCACTCATCACTGGGCTCCATTTGGACATCGAGCTGCTGACCGCAACTCTTTGAGTATGACCATCCAGCCAATTCCTTATCCACTGGGTGGTCCATTCATCAAATCCTTGTTTCTTCAGTTTAGAGACATGCAAACACATCTCCTTCTGGTGCCCTGAAGGGAAGTTATTGCTGAATCAGTGTTGGACAGCACCTCCATCTGCTGTGAGTTTCATTCAGGTAGAGGTTGACCTGAGAGTTGAACTGACACTCTCAGTTCAGTTTTCTGAAACATTAAACAAGCCCAGTTATTTGGGCATGCCTATGTTCAGGGACAAGTACAAACCAAGCTGTTCTGATGTGACATGAGGACAAACAGAAAAATTCAGTAGTAGCCACTTGGAAAGTGAGAGCAGAGACAGATGAATGAGTGGAGAGCTAAATGAGTAAGGATGTTGAAGTGTAGGCATAGGATTTGATGAGAAGGAAGAACTGAGGGAAAAAAAAAGCAAGTGGTGCTGAATGTGCTTGCTTAAAAACTAGTTGGAGAAGCAGATTCTGGATGGAGGAATTGCTATTTAGTGAGCAAACTGAGATGATCAGCCACTGGTGTGGCGAGAGCCCTGGAATAATCTGTCAAACTAATGGCATGTTGAGTCACTCAGAGCTTCTCAGCATGTGGAAAAGAATCCTAGAAAGACTTGAGACTTGACGCAGAGCCCAGTCACCCATGAGTGAAAAAGTTTAAGCTCTAGAAGCCCAGCTTGCAACTGATGGCTGCATCAGTCACCCATACTTGCTGCTGGTAAGCACAATGGTCACAGGGATCTGAAATCTACTGGAGAGTTACTAAGAGAGACCTGTTGCCCATGTCCCAAAATGTTTGTTTTATTGGATGCTTACAGGCTTTAAGATACTTTTTATTTTACTATATACTTTAAGCTGAGACCTGGTTTAATAGTCATAACTGAGCTTTTTTTTAGTTAAATGACTTCAGAAATCTTTCTTAGTCTGCAGAGGTTCTGAAGAAGTGTAGTGGGCCAGAGGACTGGCATGAGAAAGGGTGCTGAATGCGATTCTTAAAATAACTGTTAGGCTCACCACTCCTCTTCCTCTCCTTTCTTGTATATGGAAAAATTTTGGTGCGAGTTACTTAAAAGACTTAGTAAGTTGTACACCTGTTCCAGAAACATTGACATGTCTCTTGGCTAGAAAGAATAGTTTAGCGGCCTAATAATGAACACCCATTGCAGTTATTTCTGTGAAACAACTAATGTATATCTGTCTGTCTTTTTCAGTGGTCACAGGAGCTACTGATGGGATTGGAAAAGCCTATGCAGAAGAGGTAAGAATTCTTATCGCTTGGAAGCGTATCTCGATCCTTGGCAAGATGTCATGCTGTCTCAACTCTGTCAAGCAGTAGGTCATATCTTCTCACCTTATCTTAACATAGATATCTGTGGAGAAAGAAGTCTCTTGCCTTGCCTCCCTCAAGTGACCAGCTAAAGGTTGTATCCCTTTCCTTTATTTGTGAATACTATTTTCAGCCCTTACCTTGTTCTTCAGTTTTTATTTTTAACTTTTTTAGTTGTTACAATTATTTTAACTTTTTCAGCCCTTGGTATTTCCATTTGGTATTTCCAGGCACTGACTAAAAGGCATTTCTAGCTGCCTGCGGTATGTTCCGATTATTCCCTATAGTTCATGAAGTCTCTGAAGCTGGGGTTTACCTCTATCTCTCTTACTGTACTTTTGCTCTTGATGGATATGTGGGCTCCAAATATGGTACTGGAATGTATTGCTTAAGACAGAAAGTGCCTGTTAGTATGGGGCAATTTAGCCTATAAGCCCAGAGAACATCATGACAAATAGTGCTGACTACAACAATTTATAGCAAAAATAACTTTCAGCTCCAGTATCAGTACTAAAGTGAGTCTGTCTGTACTCATTTTTGTGTTCTCTGAAGTACCAGCATGACTTTGTGAGGAGATAGCAGTGAGAGATTCCCTTTTTCTGGAATATTTTGTTCTGCAGAGCCCACAGGGAAAGTAATGTTCATTATTACAGGTAGTGCTTGCCCTTCAGATTTCCCTTTCATCCCTGTGTGCCCTGCCACCTGCACCCCTAGACCCCAAATTCCTTTCTGCTTTCCAGAAAGTAGCACCTCATCCTACTGGGTCAAGACAGGGGAGTTGGCTGCAAAAGGAGTTATGCCTGATGCCAGCAGTGCCTGATTCTGGTGTAGAGCTGACAGCTCATACGTGCCAAATATCCCAGTTACATGGCACTGAAGCAAATGATGCAACACTTAAATGAAACTGCCTAGAGCAAGGGGAAGGAGGTCATTGTGCCCAGGGCATGGCACTATCAGGAGGAAGTCCTCTGGTGTGGGAGATGCCCTCTGACTATTACGGGAGGTTAGTTTCAGGGTCTATATGTTAGGTTATCAGGTGAGTGAAACTACAGCTTGCTTTATGTTCTACTGGCATTGCCGAGAACCAGGCTGCCTTCAGACACAGATGTGTGCTGCAGGCAGACCCCTGTATACAAAACCCTATTATGAAAGCTGATCACAAGTATGAGATCCTGCTGGGAAACACTTGACTGTTTCAGCTTCTCTGCTGTAGTTGCTGTATTCACAGAGCACCCCAAAAGCACGCCAAAAGTGTACAAATATTCATTCCTGGGCTATAGAATAAACCACGCTTCCATTTAAAAAGATTTATTTTTGTTATTTATTTAGAATAAAATGCATATCTACCCTTTGACAGTTTATGTGGATGAAGAATACTTGATGAAATCAAGTGTGAATGCGGGGGGAAATGTGAATACCTGAAAAGACTTCTCAATCTTTCAATTAACTCTGGAGATGTCTTCATAATACTGCAAGCAGAGGCTTGACTTTCTACTAGAAATTCCCATCAGGTTACTATAAATGCCACTACTATAAATGGCTGTGATTATAATAATGCAGATTACTTCTTTCTCCTTGGAGGAGTTTGTGAGAAATGTAACGGTGTGTTGAGAATCGCCTCTTTGAAAGTTTGACATGGTCACCAGTAAGTGATGGAAGAATGTTATGAGTTTGTGGATTCTCTGGTTATACTATGCTCTGTTGGTTACTTTCCTTCTTTTCCAAGCAAGGAACTGTTTTTACACTTTTCAGTCTTGCAGTATTAAGATCTTTATTCCTTGCTCAGCACTGATATCCTTCTCATCACTAGACCACCCCTTCGCAAAAGGTGGTGCCATAACAAATGCAAGTTTTCTTCTGTGTTTGGGTAATGCTTGCCCAGTCTTTGATTTGATTCCAGAGCAGCACACTTTTTTGTGGGGGTGGTTTTTTTTGGTTTTGTTTTAAAGGATATGGTCAGAAGTCGCTCTTCGTTGCTCCTCTCTTGCTGTCTGCAGTTTGCTTTTGCAGGTCATGAGTTTAAATTTAATCTGAGATGTATTTGTATGATAGTGATAAACTAGAGGTTGTAATCCTGTTACATACTCTGCAGTGCTCTGCTATGCACATCTGCTTAATACTGCTTTTTGCAGATCTTCTTGCTATACCTACTCTAACAAGCATTTTAACTCTGCTTTGGTGGGCTGTCAATGACATTCCTTTCATCTTGGAGAGAAAGGGCTTTAACAGAAGCTGTGTTTTTGCTTGAAGTGGAAAACGTGGTAGTTACTAACATGGGATGTAAGGAAATCAGACCCCTACGTCCACTAACTCGGTTAGAATGGCAACTCTTACTTGCATCAGTCCTTAGGCTACAAGAGCATCTTCCCAATGTTTGCTACTCTGGGTGAGTTTTGTGATTAGTTTTAAGGTCTTCTTGTTCAGCCTTTTCATGGCCCCAGGGACACTGGCCAAAGATGCAAGTATAATGGCAGGTTATCTACAAAGCAACTGGGTCTTCATTTCCTCATTTCTGATGCGCTTCTCAGAGTGTGTCCCTTCAGCGTCAGCATAGCAGCAGTTCCTCTCAAGCTCACTCTTGTGGAAGTTCTCTAAACATGCTGAGGTTCCACTGACTGGGTGCATTGGCATGGCTTTGCTTCCTTGGCTTTTGAGACAAGTACAGCCGGATGGATACTTTTCTGTAAAGCTCAGATACCTACTTAGGAAATCTGGGAGCCCAGAGGTTATGACTGCTGAAAGAAAGCAAATTGTGTTGTAAGTGGTCTGGAGCTTGCACCCATGAGGAACTCTGGGGCTTTTTTGCCCCATGGGGCCACAGCTGTTTCAGACTGAGTAGATTACTTTCAGGTTGTTCTCTGTGTCATAGGCTGAGATTCACAGGCTGAGATACTTTTAGGTAAAGTATTTACCTTCACTGCCTTGATCCTGTGGAATGAGAGAATGCTATGTTATTCCCTTCTCCCCCCTGTTCTCCAAGCCTTACTGCTTGGCTTTAGGAAAAGTTAATTCCAGTGAGCCAGGTGCTTATCTGGAGGTGGATGCGTTCATCCCTTTCAGATGATCGTCCTCATAACGCTAGATCATTGCCTTGAATGGAAAGCATAAGTTACCCCTAAGTCTGAACTTGGTGGCGGTTGTTAGCAGTTCCTAGTGTGAGTGTCTTTGATTTCATCATACCTCACTCTTAAGCTTGTGAGAGATCTAGTATGAGATTTCTTCTGCTTAGAGATCACGCATGGGAGTGAAGTACAGAGTTCGCTGATGAACTTAGTCGTACTTCTCTCTGAAAGAACCTTTCTTGGTTTGCCTACCTCTGCTAGAAAGGTAGATGAGATTGAAGTCACTTTAGGTTGTCTCTATACTATGCTGTGGTTTTGGGGGATTTTTTTTATTTTAGATTTCCTTTTTCATCTGCTTCCTAAGGCAGTGAAGGAGTTTTGTTGGAGGAATGAGAACTTACCTTTTTCTTTTATATGTAGGTGTTAAGTGTCTGAAGGGCAGTGTCAGTATGAACTGTGGATATATTGTTTTTACTTTTTGCTGGAACAGGGACTTCTAGTAGTCTCAAACATTGTTTGTTTTCATGGCAGGGTAATTCAGATATGCAACTGTCTTTCCACGGACAGTTTTAAATTGAGTTGTTTGATCGCATTACAAACCTGCAGCGGTAGGTCTGATTTGATGACCAGGATATGCTCTGGCTACAGCTTAAGTTACACAGCTTCCCTAAAAGACCTGCATGAGTAAGTGAACCTTTATAACTATGATTAGTACAAAGTAAGAGTGCAGCCTGACTAAAGGAAGCAAGTATTGAGTGCTGGGGTAATTTTGCAACATGGTTGTTCAAGTGATCCTGGATATCTTAACGTGGCATGTTAAGCTTAATTATGGGTACTAACTTCCTTGCTCTGACTTACAGAAGTGTTGTACAAGTTCTGTAAAATATCTGCTGCTGGCTTTCCATTTTATAAATGTGCCTATACACCTGCATTGGATGACTGAGAAGGTAATAAATTTGTTGTGAAGGGAATCAAGTAAGAGGTAGCCTGGAAGTATTTGTCCTAGTTTACTCCTTCGTGTCTATTTAAAACTATAATTTTTTCAACCTTGCTGGTAATGTATTGTTGTGATGTTTGACAAATTATGCAATACCTTTAATTAGTATACTAACTTGAAAGTGATTTATGATTGTTCTTATGTCTCCTGTTTTGTTTTGTTGCAGTTAGCAAGACATGGAATGAAGGTGGTTCTAATCAGCAGATCAAAAGAAAGACTGGACCAGGTTGCTAGTGAAATAAGTGAGTTGAAAACTTCACTAAACTTCACAGGCATGCTTATAAATAAATACAATTGCACATGAATTTCATACATGCTAATATATACAGCTTTAATTTTGAAAAAGGTTTGCTCTTGTGCACAGTGCAAATGTTACAGATATAAGTGTGCTAAAGGCCTTGTAGATTGATTTTATAGATGTGAGAACAATAGAGCTTAATTCTGGAGTAAGTTCTTCTAAAACTATTAGTCTTCCACAAGAACAGCTTACCGGGTCAGACCAAAATACCACCTGTCCCCATAGTAGCTATATATATGAGAAAAGTATATAGTCATTGCTTCATCTGTATATTCCCTCATCCTGAAGCAAGTTTGATTTCATAGGCTTCAGCCATAAGGGGGGTTTCTTTGTAACTCAAAGCTGTTGAACACATGTTCTTTATGTTGCTCATTGTATTACCAAGTATACAAGTTTATTGTGGGCAGCTTCCCCTTCCTCCCCCCTTTTTTTGTTTTGTTTGGATAAACTACTCAAAGATCAGATTAGAGAGCTCTAAGCTTTTTTGGGTGAGTAGTGTGCATAGTCATAAAAATACAGGGAATGATGTGTTTAAGAACCTATATGAGGGGTTGTTTCTTTAGTAAGAGTGTAGTAAATGGCTGTAATGCAAAAAGAAGGGAGCAACTTAAATATTCCAATTACAAATGTAAAATGGATATTTGTACGGGGTCAGTTAGGAGAAAGCTTCTTCAAGTCTCATGCTGACAAATGGTTTTCCAGTCGGAGCAAAGCATAACCATAACACACAAGAATTCCTCTTGTAATCTATCTCTTTTATTAAGGCAGATTTCTTGCAAGGCTATTAGTTTATGCAGAGTACATCAAGATAAAGTGAAAAATGTAGCCTTGTGTGTAGAGGTTTTTGATAAGCAGGAGTGGGAGTTGTGTATTATAAAGCAGATTTCTCAGCATAGTGATGTTGGGTAAAGAAACCTTTAAGGTTATGCTTCTGTCTTACCCTCCCTTGTCTTGCTTAGACTTTCCTAAAATGATTTGTGTACATAATGCAGATAATTGCAAGAGCTGCTCTCTTTCGGAGGTCATAAATGTATTACTTTGGCTTGAGTTTGTTAAAACTTTTAATAATTTTTTTTTTAGTGTCACAGCTTTACTGTAAAGCATAGTCTGTAAGTTAAGCCTCAACAAGCTGTCCTATACTAAGTTGCAAGGGGCTGCTTAGTGAATGTAAGGATGATTCTATGATTTCTAACTTTCTTAATAGTAACTGTTTTACTAGTTTACTGAAAGACAGAGGGTGTATAATTCTGTTGACGAAATGCTGCTTTCTCTAATTTTTAGTGTCCAGTGTAAGATGGCATATGAAACTTTTCTAGACAGAGAAGTCTTCCTTTCCATGTGTATGTTTAGGTGGTAGAGAACATCCCTTCTTAGAGCAAAGATGGCATCAAGTCCTATCTTCTGCTGGTTTGGAAGTAACTGGCATTGTTCATTAGTATCCTGTAAGTAGTAGTCAGTGTAAATTAAACCATGTAGGTGTTACTGCTCAGGTAAGCTGTGTGCGTACTACAAAGACATACAGAAGTTGCAATGTGGTTGGTCTTTTTGGTGGTTCACTGCAGTAGCTGGATGGTAGTTTGCTGCATATGTGGGTGTATGCAGTCACATTTTTTACCATGCTGTATACAGTTGTCTTGCTAAGTAAAAGTGTAACTGATAGAAGTATCTACAAATATCTTGTTCTGGAATCAAACGTGTAAGCATGAAGTGACAAGCGTCCTGAAAGTGGTCATAGCCCTTTCTGTACCAGTCTGGAAATCTCTTCCTCCTTGGGAATTAGGCATGATGCTGACAAGACAGATAAATCTACTGCTTTAAGCTTTCAGCACTTACATGATAGTTGCTGGAGGAATTTTTCAGATTAAAAAAATAGGTACATGTACCTATGTAGAGCAGCTTGTAATACATAATTACGGTTAGGCCTCACCCAAATATTTTTCTGCTTTCTTTCCTAAACCATTCTGAAATGAGATGACTCATGTTGGGTTTTCAGAACATTTCTTTTGACAATGCTGAGCTGCTGAAATGTATACCTTGTTCACTGTGGCATGTGCTGAAGGATTAGGATAGTCTGCATAATCGAGCAAGCCCGAGTCGCACTTTCAGATCCTGCTATGTCTTAGCTGGACAGAATTTTCGTGTATTCAGGCTCATTTGGTCTTCGTGGTCTGTTCAGGTGTTGTCATATATAAGGTGGGTGACTTTTAGAGCTAAGACTGTAACTACTTGGGTGTTTCCCTTGCAGGCTCCTAAGGTAGCTGTGAACTTCTTTATGGTGGTCCCACAATTGTTCTTCAAATTGACAGTGAGCTTGTTCCTCTTGTGTAATGACCCTTAATCACTTTAAGGAAGAATCGCTGTTTAACTAATTCCAAGTCTTTGAATTGTGTGAGCTGTGCATGTTTTCTGTTCCTTCTTCATTTTCACTGATGGAAATCCTGCTCATCCTAGTGAATGGATAGATGCCCTCAGCCACAAATAACGAGAGGGCTTTTGAAGATCAGGTACATTCATTCTGTTTCAGAAGAATATTGTCTTGTGCTCTTACTTATATTTGGAGTGATATCTGTGTACAAAATGCAAGTTGCATAACCACCGTCATAAGGGAAGTACTGATACGTCTTTCTGAATGTCACATGCCAGCTGACCTGGATCTGGTATTTTTGTGTGTGTATGCACATTAAACCGGCTGCACTGATGCTACAGGAAGGCCAGATGTTCTGAACTTGCGGCTCAGTTTGAGCAACAAAAACTAGTAAATTAATTACAAGCAGTCAAAGACTTCAGAGGAGTTTCCGATGTCTCCTCAAGCATGTTGTAAAGCTGAATTTTTTTGCAGAATACTTAGGTGCTTTGTAGGATTTGCCACGAAAGGGAAATTCTGCTTTGTGTTCCCTAAGAAATAGAGCATAGGCCACAGACTGAAGAAAAAATTTTTAATTTCCTCTACGGTGGTAATGGACCACCTTTGCATGGAATTACATAGGTTTTATGGAAACATATTTGATCTTTTAATCAAGTTTTTGTACACAAACACTGACTACTAGGGTCACTGTACAAAAATCCTTGGTCTTGTTTAGTTCATGCTACATCACTGTTTCAGTACCTTTTTAAAGTGTTTGTTGTATTACATCGTCGTCATGTAATGAGGATGTTCCCTGATTTGCTGTATTTAATCATGAGTATGGTCCAAGACATCTCAGGTGCTCTGTGCCAGCAGTTGGTCCAAGAGCTGTGGGTTTGCAAGCAGAAAAGCTTCAGTTATTGCACTGCTGCCAATAGGTATGTTCTGAGCAGACTTGAGAAGAACTTTGCTGTAGAAACTAATTTCCTAGGGGCTGAAATATGAAGAATGTAGTGAAAACCAGTCAAGCAGGGAAAACAGTTTAAAGACAGCTTGCCTGTAGGGAAATTGTCAAAAGAAGAATTTGGTATTGGTGTACGTTATTAGCTGGTGGCTTCACAGGACAGGTGGTGGAGTTGTGCATGAGATGTGGGAGGCGAGAAAAAGCACTTCCAGCCAAGTAGTGTTCCTACCTGCAAGTGTACCTACTTACTTGTAGGTAAGCCCATATAACTGCAACACAGGGGATTTTGAGTTTGTCATCAGTTACTATATAACTCAAAACTTTTTTTGCTGCTTTAAAATCGGTGGTTGTTACTATTACATACACCCAAGTGATAATATTAGCTCCTAAGAAATTGTTTGGACTGAAAAATCAAATTTTTTCCAATGAATTCTCACAAATGATTGTTTTACTGGAATACATTGTGCTTTAAGCCTTTGATACTGTTTAAGAACTAGTGTCCAACACTTTAATCTGATTCTGCTAGATGTCTTTCTTTTAAGAAAATACAGGTGTTTGCAATTAAAATCTGTGTAGCTGACTATTTACTTCCAATAAGTTTCCTGAGCTCAGTGTGTAGAGTTCCTGAAGTTGCTTGGTTGTAGTGGTTTCATCTTGAGCTATTCTCTAACCCTAAGATTTCAGGTACTTTGGAAACTGATAGCTGTCATGTTTAGACTTGGGATCTATCATGTTCTTGCTACTCTGGCATGATTTGTGAGTACAAGAAAGGAATGGGATGTGATGTGAAAACCAGAAATGTTCCTTCTCTATTTCCTAGACAGGTGGGTTTTACGCTTTCTTCTGCTTTCTTGGTAACAAGATAGTGGGGAACATTCTGAAGCAGCCTGATGCAGACTGCTGTGCTCGTGTGTCAGCTGTTACTGTGACCTACTGCTACAAATGGCCAATGCTGCCCATGGCAAATCTGTCCCCTGCCGATGCTCAGCTGCACCTCCCTGGGAGCACTTTGGCCCTCAGTCTCTGCCCTGTCACTTGCACACCCTGCCATGCCCTGGTAAATCCTCCTCGCACCTTGGAGTTGGCAGGTAGGAATATTTACATTTAATAGAGGAGGTTGAAATGCGGACAAACTTGGGGAGGAAGGGGACATCATCTTCTTACTTTTCTTGCACAGACATGACAAGGTTCGCTTTCTTGAGCTTAACTTGAAGACTTAACTGAATCCGGCAGCTATTTTGACCTTTTGTGATCTATTTCAAGGTAAATTAATGTGTGTTTGCAGCCTCCAATCATCTGAGCCAGGTTCAGCTTGACATACTTGAAATCCCCCTATATTTCTTGGACTTGACAAAATGGCTTCAAATATTTTGGGCTTATTTTACTGCACTGAAGTCACCTTTCACATAAAGTTATAGCATAAGGATCTTTGATTCAAAATGAGCTCTTGGTTTTCATCCCTGAAGAAAGTTTCCTTTGGATGAAGTGAAGAAAGTTCCCATGGTTTTGCCTTGAATGGTGTCAGCCACTTACTAAAGCCGCAGTTGTCAGACACTGTAGAGAGCTGTTGAGTGTCTCGGTACCCTGAGCTGTTGAGTCTCAGCTGACAGAGGATTCAAGCTGAATTAATTTTTAT